TAGAGATTTTAAACTATTGAGAGATTCATAGAAGTTGGCAGAAGCATTCACTAAACTGAATGGAGGGTGCAAGATTGAACTGGAATATTTGAAATACAAAAACCTTTATGATGTTGCAGTTAAAGTGGATCATGGAGATCTATGTTCATTTTTTGATAAAGTGCTATGAAAGACTAGTATCTGTCAGCCCAACCCTATCTCAAAGGATTATTGTAGGGAAAATTGGAAGAGGTGGTGATTCATTTCGGAGGGGAGGGTAATCTAGTCAGTTTTGACTCCTATCATTATTGCTATTGTTGTTGTTCATGCTTTGGGGTCTATTTTAACTCCTTGGGACTGACAAAATTTTTGGAAGTGGTTTGCCATTGCTTCCTTCCAGATCTGAGAAAGAGTGATTGGCCCAAACTTCCATTGTTCCCAATAGTGCTAGATGTTTTGGTCTCTTGGTTTCTAGCCTGGTGCCTTAACTAGTACCCCAAGTTCTCTTTCAGTGCTTCATATACTTCAGTGTGCAAGATGGGTGAAGTTTAAATCTAAATCTTATCGTTCTAGTTAACATAACTGAACTTCTTATTCTGAAGGCAATTCCAGAATTGTGAAGTTAGCACTATTTTGGTTCTTTTTCCTACAATTCTAATTATTCATTTCTTTACATTTACCATTTTTGTAATTCAAAAATTTATCACTGTCTTCTTTTATTTAGAAATACAAAATTTCTGGCTGCCTTCCCAGTTAGACTGGGAAGGTTAACTTCACAAGTTTTGCATAGCCACTCCAAAGCAGAGATGACCCTTAAAAGCTCTCAATAAAGCCCTAGAAAAGAAATATTTGCTTTAGCATTATAGATCTTCCATCTCTTTTCTGTGCAATGGTTTTGCTTTATATGGTTTGAGAAACAATTGTGTGCAGGTCATCTTTAAATTTATATTTTTTCTGCTTTATTTTCTGCTTTTTTTCCTTCAGCGTTTTTCAATTATTTAATAAAATAAAAAAACAAAGAGAACTTGCTTATTACCTAATTTTTCCAAGCTGACCAAAACAAACTTTTAAAATAGGAAACATATATATTTTTTAATTTCCCTGTAGTATCAGCAGAAGAATCAGAAATGATAAGCGCAGTTAATATATTCAGTATATATCGGGAGGATATCCCCTTGAGATTTTACAACCACAAGAAAGGTCGAAGTAAATATGAAACTTGATATACATTTCCTATTTATTGCTGGTGGACAAGATTCATTCCATTTGAAGTACATATAAAATTTGATAGAGATTCTTTGTAATGGAAATGTTAGCTGCATAATATTGTTTTGTCCCTAGCAAAAAACTGCATTGTATTTCAAAATAAGGCACAGAACAATATTCTGCCTTCTTTGGAAGCAGTACTGTATAGAGAAAGAGGGATTTTACTGTCAGGTTTGTTGTGATACATTTTACTAAAGAGAAATTAGGTTGGAACTAAGCCAATAACTAGCATCTGTCCAATAGCAACATTAATTACAAGTATGTTCAATATTGTTTTATTGATGAAAGCCTTCTTATCCCATGTTAATAGTGTTGGTGCAATTTTTAAAAAAAGTATTTTTAAGTGAAAACTTAACTTCTTTTACTTTTTTAAATAACAGTTTTCTTCCAGTTGGTTTTTTTAGCCATTTGCAGTACATTAGTCACATGTATAATCTACTAGATAATTTCTGTTATCTAGATTCTAAAATGTTGATTCATAGTTAACTTTTTATAACTGAATTTGCAAAGACAGCAAACAATTGAAATGACAGATCAGCATGTTTCATAACACATGCCATATAAACAAAGTAGAAATTAAATACTCTATGTCTTGGAAAGAGATGTTTGGCATAGGTTTTATTACAAAGAAAGATAAATAAAGGAGGGAAAAGTATCCGTGTATTAAATATATATATATATAAGTTTTATAACAAAAGTTCTTCCCCACATTTTTATTAGCCGACTGCACTATTTTATTTCACAGTAGCTTTTCAAATACAGTGGTTCATATTCTTTCTAAGCTTCATCTCTTGCTCATCCAGATGGCAACTAAATTATGGGCTACATTACAGCAGAGTGCAATCGTCAGCACATGCTCCTAAAGGTGCTGCCATAGTATTTTAAAGCTTGTATCCATCTTCATTACAAGTGCAAATATTAATAATTAAGGATGTTAAAGTGAAATAATTATACACGATTAAAGCAGACGCCAAATTTCATGTGAAAACCATGATAAGGAGTAATTGCTGTCAGCACATCTTCCATTCATGCTCCTTTTAGCAATTAACCTTTATTGCTAGTAATTTACTCCTGTATACAGAGTAAAAGAACCTTAATGGATCGCATTATTGGCTATCATTATTGATGCTGTTGATTGCTTATCATAAAAGCTGCAGTTAGGAGTATAACTTTGAAATATGTTTGCATGTTAATATTGATTTATGTTATATATACATACCTGTGAGTGTGTGTGTGTGTGTGTGTGTGTATGACTGTTAAGTAGCTAAGAACTTATCATTAAACTTAACGTAACTTACCAGAAAATGCTGCATTTAGTAAGTATGGCTATTATAAAGTGGTATTTTTTTTCTGAATGCAGACAACAATTTTAAATCAAAAGTAATCTATTCTTGAGCAGTTATTTGATATTCTAACCCTTGTCCTGCAATGCTTAAAATGTTTTCCTGCAGAAGAAAAGCAGTTTTGCTATAAGACTTCACAGTTATATATTTATAATAAAGAATCTTTGTATTTAACGCTACAGGTTTTGCACCAACAGGTTAGAAATATATAATCATTTTATTTGGGAGGATTTAAAAATAATGAAACAACAGAATCTGGCAGTCTGTTAGATGCTTAATATGTGACAATTGAAGAGTCAGATTCATTGTTTAGTTAAAGTATTAGAGTGAATGAAGGGAAAAAAGCAGAACAAAAGTCATTTAGCAGATTGGTAGAGTTTTTCCTCTGGTCTTCTTGTCAATCTAGAATAAACTTAAAGAAGTAGAGAAAAGAAAGTGGAAGTGATTTGATTGATTGATTCCTTTGATTTGATCAAAATGAAATAATAGAAACATTTGAAGCCAAATTAGTTCATACCTAGTGAACAACATGTGTTGTGGGAATCTGACTGAGACCTGTGAAACAAATTTATTAAAATTAAAATACATTTATGAATGTATTCTATTTTATTTTTATTTATGTACACTGAGAGTATATACGCCAAAGACAATTCCTTGTATGTCCAATCACACTTGGCCAATAAAGAATTCTATTTTATTCTATTCTGTTAAAGAGGCACCAGCATTTATATGCCATGATGTTTGTGAATAGTGAATAGCAATAGCACTTAGACTTATATGCTGCTTTACATGAATTTATATGCCTACATATACTTATATGCCTCTTTAAGTGGTTTATAGAGTCAGCATATTGCCCCCAACAATTTGGGTCCTCATTTTATCCACCTTGGAAGGCTGGGTCAACCTTGAGCTGGTAGGATTTGAATTGCCAGGTTGCAGGCAGCCAAACCATATAGTATTGCGCATCGGAAACAATAGCAATATACTTTAATAGAAATGTAAACAAGATTCATAATCTTGGGTCACTATTAACTTGTAAAATGATTTACAGATATAAAAGGAATTGAGTATGCAATAAGACATGTATTCAGGAGTCTTGAATAACCAGTAACTCCTTCAGAAGCCTTGAATAAATTGTAACTCCTTAATAATTCATGTCAAGCTACACTCATAATTTAAAGAGGTAAATCCTTGCTTAAAAGATTATGGACTGGTATGCTGTAGCAAGAGTGAATGAGTGAATGCTGTGATGTTATTTGTGCAGAGGTGGGGCTGAGGGTGGTTGGCACGAATGCAGTTGGGGCTTATACTTGCCCTGCTGGGGGCTTCTCAGAAAAAAAGCAGTGGCACTGATTGACTGGAGCAACTTGCGGTCTCCTGCTGACTTCCCCATTGCTTTTGGTAAGGTAGCAGGACAGGTCACAAATGGTGATCACGTAACCACCATTGCCTAGAATTTCAAAATTTATAAATCCTGCTAAAAATCTGCAAAGAATCCTTTCTATTATGAAATATAACTCCAATATTCCTGTCATCTCTAATTGGGAAAAATACTAATTGGCAATATTTGAGATGCAAAGCATATGAGCAAAGGAAAACATTTATCTTTGTAGTATATGCCACATCTATTTACAAGCACAGATGTGAAATTTGCCTCAATAATTAGATTTTTAATTGGTATATCATAAAACAGATCAATCATTCCTCTGTTTGACATAAATAAATCTATATAGGCACAATTACATTGTATTAATGATATTTTTCCACAATCATTTTTTCTGGCCTTTTCCCCTTACCTTCGCTCCCTTACCTCTTTCCTTTACCTTTGCTCTATATCAAGTAAACTTGCATTTGTAACCTTGAAGAGGAAAGTGGAAGGTGAATATGTTTTCCGGATAATGCTTGTATTAAATGTGGCTTAATTAATCTTAGTATATTTTTTCCTGATATATAGGATATACCTTACTTGGTCATTTCATGTATAGGATAACTCTAGGATTTATTCTTTCCTTTTCAGGATGTAAATGTATTGTGTACACAGGTGCTATGTATTTTGAGTTATTTAAATATTAACTAATGATTTATAGCACATTATCATTTAATAACTAAGTACTCTCTTCTTATAGTTGCCGGACAAGTAATAGAAAAAGTTTGATCTGTAATGGACAATCTTCAGCTATGCCTCGGCCCCATTCACCACTTTCTGCTCACGCAGGTAATACCGTTGTTCTTTTAAAATCTATTTTAGTATTTTCAAATTTTCGTGTTTGAAATGTTGTATACATTTTTAGTATGTGATATGTTTTAATGTTGAATTTAATAATATGAAATACAGGTTTTAATATTTATTGCAATGAATTTGATATATCTATTTGAATAATTCTTGCTTATAACCACAGCAAAAGTCATTGATAAAATAGGAGTGAAAAATGTAAATACTATAATTAATGCATTATGTAACATACTAAACTGATAATTGCATCACTAGTTGATTTCTCTGTACAATTTGAACAACTGACATTAGTTACTCCTTTTAAAGTAAATTGGTTACTATTATTGGTCAGGCGCAGTACAAAATAAAAACATTTGCAGAACTGACATAAAATAGATTTGGAACTGTAACTCAAAGCAAAACAATTGCAGTTGACATTAATTGTAGATGGCATAGGTTTATAAATAGGATTTTGCTGCATTCATTTTTGGTAGATACAAATAAACTAAAAGAAAGTACAAATAAATTTTTGGTAAAAAGTTGGGTAAATCTGGGCCAATCACTCTCTTTCAGCTTAGCTCACTTCATAGAGTTTTGGAGGTGGTAAAAAATAGGAAGAGGATGGAGAATTAGGGCAATGGAATGTGTGGATGACCCTTGGGGGAGGAGGGAAAGGGCTGCTGCTTAGGAAACAATCAGACAAGAGACGGAGGAGCCTGAAGTTGCTTTATTATTATTTTATGAAAAATAATAAAAAGAGGATTTAAAAATCTAACCAAAAGAAGTTTTCTAGAATAGAATAAAGGTAAAAGTATGCATGCTACTTCTTAATGTCCTCCAATCCACGTTAGTGAATATCTTTCAGGAATAGAATCTCAAAATGCCTTTCTGACTATAAGGTAGAGGAGGAAGCATTAAAATATGCCATTGTAAAGACCCTCTTCTGATTCAAATTAATAATAATTAATTTAAGTTATTAAATGTTAATGACTCCCAATGGCTCTCGGCAGTTTTAAAATGTTTTTAACAACAAAAGAGACAACACAACAAGAGCACAAACAGAAGAAACCAAGAAAACAAACCTAGATAGAAACAAAGAAAGGGAGCATTAATCATCCTTGCCAAAGGTTTGGACAAAGAGCAACATTGGAAGTGCCAGTAGGGTGGAGGCCATTCAAATCACAGCCGGGGGTGGGGTGGGGAGGCAGGGATGCAATGATTAAATGGCACCTTGCTCCAATATTTTAAATAATCAATACTCCTTATCCTTTTCCTCCTTTGTGCTGAATTGGGTTTATAAAATTCCATGAATTCATGAACTTGATTATTATTTTAATAAAGTAATACATAATTAATATCTTGAAGAACTAAGATTCTTGAACTGTATGAAAAAAACTAATTTAAGTATTTAAAAGGATATACAATGACTTAAACTAAATAGAATGACTTAAACCAATAATAGAAAATATGCATCCAAACCTGTGCCTTAATCAAAATGTATAGTAGGATACTTTGTAGCATGAGCTACAAATACATATAAAATACATAATACATAAAAATAATTGACCTCTTTCTAGGGACCAGAATTTTCAGACACCATAGCTCCATCTTATTAGAAGCTCGGTCACAGCTTTTGCACAAAGTATCTTAATTGCAATTGAAATAACTTTTTCGTCTATTCAGTTAAAAAACTGAAATTAACATTAAAGATCCTCTGTGTATTCCCCATCATATATTTGAGTGGCATCTTCAACAGGTAGAACCATTATACTCAACTTCGAAGTTCAATCATTGTCACAACATATAGTGCCCAGCTGACTATGTGATGTACCAGCTCCAGCTACCTTGTTCGTTGGCTCTTTGTTGCCTGCCTGCTGACTGTTTGCTGGCCCTCCCATGTCATATTCCATGCCTTATCTTGCTTTGCCTGCCTTGTTCTTTCCTGATAATTTCCTTGTACTCACCTTAACTTTAAAGGGACACAGCAGATTGGGTAAGATAAGACTAAAGTTGCTCAGAGACTCTTTGTATTCTGCAGCCCTTAGTAAGGGTGCAAGAGACTTGCCACTTTGGGAAAGGATGATGAAAAAGTATGTGGCGATGACATCTGTCATCAAATCTGCCCAACTTGACCTGGCCAGAGAACACCTTGCATTGCAAAGGATGATAGAATGCCATCCTTGCCCAAGCAACAGGAACAAGCTTCTGCCAACCATGCTTATGGTTGTGCTTTAGAAATAAAATATGGTTGATATGTTCTCTTAAGTTTTCACTCCAAGGCACTTTGTTGCCTGCCATCCTCACTAATTTCCCTATTTTGCACTCCAAAGATTAGATTCCTTTTTCAGTTTACCAGTTCTGTTTCCATTTGTTGCATAGCTTGTACATGTTGAAAGGGTCTAGAAAGACCTACAGCAGTTATTGGTATGCCCACCATTCTTATTGTCCAGGGCAAGAGACAGAGAGTGCTTGGGCAGAATTTGAATTCCCTGTGAAATAGAGAATTAAAAATTCTGGGAAGCAAAGTCATCACATCTAAAAGTTACCCAGGTTAGTCAGATGGCTGTCCCATAAGAAAAAAAGTAAATATAAAAGGACAAATATACATAGACAAATATGATATTCAAGATCTATATTTCTCTTTCAGCTGTCCATCATTGAGAGGCAAAGCAGAAAAATATTCTTTAGCAGACTCCCTTTTAGTTATTTCTTTCTCATTAACACTTTTACTATTTTTTCTGATTGAGTAAATTACAAGAGATGTCAAAGAATTTCTGTCTCCATTGAATCTGATTGTCAGCCCATTGATTGAAACATCAGAGTATAATTTTGTCAACAAACAAACTGATAATAATCCTGGAGATTCATATATTTTTTCATAGACAGATATGGAGCTGAATCATTTTCCTCAATAAATCAATAAAGAACTATAATGTTTTTGATTGATTTGTTTGATCTCTTTATCTAATTTTAGGACTTGTGTGGAGAACAGATCATATTTTAGGTCATGTTTACAGAGAAATATTGAAAATTCTGAAGATTTCACAAACTTTTAAGCACTACTATCCATATTTCATTGAGAATCTCTGTAGTTCTGTAATATGAGAGCTCTTCTAAGAGAAGTTCAGTATCTCCTATGAAACTATTCCACCCCACTTCAGTGACATCAATTGTCTTTAGATGATGAATTACATCCTTCCACATTAGTGGCCATCATATTATCTTTAGGTGATGAATTCTACAGATAAATGATATGCTGTGATAAGACATAAATTATTGTTCTTAACGTAGTAAATGCTAACATTTAACCAATATACATGTAGTTTTCAATGTGGTCTATTTTCAGTTAACTCATTGAATATTATAAAAACAGATTCAATTTTTAGCCATAAAAATTATTTTCTTTTCTAATGCCTTCCTATTTTCTTCTAATGAAAAAAATATTTTGGTTAAACAAACTCCTTTAAGACACTAATACTATTTCTTTAATATTCAATGGCCTGAGCTGAGAATTTCATAGGTGCACAAAACTTCATTCCAGACCTAGGAAAATAGCCCATTCCTACGAGCCAAATCAATTATTTAGGTGCTACCAATATAAGGAAATGAAAACACACACAGTACTTCATATCCCTGTACACGGGGATGGTTATGTACACCTGCTTACATTTAAAAGCAGATCAGTATGTAATAATAAAAAACAATTTCCAGTATTTTACCAATGGCCATCTGCATTTTTGTACTTTCAAATTTCCTGTCTTTGGTGGGCCCAGAGAGACAAATTACAGATTGAAAGTGACAGATTTTCTTAAAACAAATCAACTGCTGCTTCCACAAGACTTTTTAGTGAAAGGTTAGTATTTTGCTCACTTGGAAACAAAAATATGCCTTCATATAAAAAGTTATTATTTTTGTATTTAAATATTTTTTACCTTCTGGGGCAATTAAAAGCAATCAAAATATTTTTGCAAGCAAATATTGGGCCTTAAAAAGTTACTTTGCTGTCCAGATGAGCCAAACCTTAAAACATATATTTTGAAAAGTTACAAAAGTTATAAAAAGTTATAAAATTCCTTATTACATCAAATAATACACATGCTGCAATAGCAACTAGGTTTTCAGGATTTTTAAAAAAAAAACTATTTCAAGAATAGCTGTGCATGTGCAGTGATGTTCCCCATATAATATATCAAGTTCAGATTCATTACTATTTTAAATATTTGTATGTGTCTTTATGTGTGTCTGCCTTTGAATTAGTTTGGACTCCTGGGGGAGTGGCTGACAAGATTTGGTTGTCATAGAAAAGGGTCAAAGAATGAGAGGAAAGAATAACTAGGTCAAAGCCACCCATCTGGCTTAGCACTTAAGATGGGACCTGAACCCAACATTTTAAAGTTTTTAGCCTGGTGCCTTAACTACTATATCAGACTGATTAACTAAATACTGATTATCTACTGTCATATCAATGTCTCTATGAATAACCTGTGTTAATAAAGTATATAATGTCTGACCCAATTAATTAGGTTTAAATAGTAGTCAACCGTAGTTGCAAACTACATGACCCTTTTGAAGTCTTTGAAAGCAACAAGCTCTGGAACAATAGGATTTAGGGTGAACAAATACTGAGAGAAAGTTTGTGAGTTATGAAGCTAGGGCTCTAATTTTAATATTTTTTCCTCAATTGCCACACAATTAAATATTACACGCATAGACAAAAATCCTTTTTAAAAATCTTGTATAAAAGTTTGTCCAACAAGAAGATTCTTTGCAGCCAGAATAAATTAAGCCCCTAAAAAGGGCGAGGTAGGTATGGAACAGTGAAAAAGAAAAGAAACAATTAACTAAAATACATAATAGATAAAGAGTACCATTAAAAATATATTACTTTGAAACAGTTGGATCTAAAGCATTTCCATCATCCTCTTTCCTTTCCTTTTTTCCATTCCCCATGTTGAAATTGTGGCCCTGCTGGTCATCACTCCATTTTTCCCAAACTCTCATGAAACAAGTAAGACATTTACTCCAATAAAAAGTGCCAAACACAGTTAATTTTCACCTCACTATTAGTTTTTTTGGCTTTTAAAGGAAAGAAAGAAAAAAGAAATAGCATTTGAAACTCAGGAATGAAGAATTGCTGCTCCTCTCATCTCCCAAGTAGGCAAAGATACAAATAGGGCTGTGTGGTACATTGATTTCCCCTGACAATACTGTCTCTTCCTTGCTTGATTAATTTGTTTACATAATTCATGTTGTAAAACAGTTTCAGTGCTTCCTCGTTGTTTTCATTTAGATCAGAATTTCCTCAAGAACAGAGGAGTTTTTTAAGAAAAAAAAAACACCTCATCAACATAATAGATATCCTTAATAAAATATGAACTGCAATAGAGTAGTCATAATGCAGACTACTGCTTTATTTTGGAAGAAAACAAACCTTTGGGAAGGAATTAGTTAAGAACCAGGTAAAGAGCTAGAAGGGTAAACTGTTTGAAATGACAGAAAATATTTTCAATTAAAAAAAATTAAGCAGCCAAAAACAACAGAAGGTAAAAAAATGACATGAGTCTAACAATATTTTAAAGATCTGGCTACTTATAAATGATTCTGCAGCCGGAACGCCCATTAAGAAATAACAAATTTCAGTGTCCCTATTCAATATTCTTTTGTATCTTTAAATCTGGCAACCTTTCATTAGACAACCTTTTAAGTAAGGGACCTTGTTCTATGATGTAAATCATGTAGCTATTCTATTTAAATTGGGAGAAGCTAATAGGACGTGCAAGTCTTTTCAGAATCATAAATATACAGTCTTTCATTTTAGCAGATTTATATTCTAGATTAGAAGAAGCAGTTTAAATATGTGAAACAGAAATAGTTTAATTTGGCCAGTCAGGCTAAAAAAATTATATTCCCTTAAACCAAGGTACGGATTAACCTATTATACAAAAGAGATACATCCAATGGTTCAGTGGCTTAAAGATGCTGGATTTGCCAGCCTAAAAGGCCAGCTCTCTATATTCCAGCAGTTCAGGCCCTAGCACTGCATGATGGAATGAGCTCCCATCACTTGCCTCAGCTTCTGCTAACCTAGCAATTTGAAAGCATGTAAAAATACAAGTAAATAGAAAGGTACCACTCCGGTGGAAGCTAATGTCATTTTGTGCAGTAGCAAGAACCAACTGGCACTGGACCTGCCTGAATGCGAGGCAAAATTGGTGTAGAAAGTCTTGGATAACACTGATAACCGCTAAGTGTCGTTATCTACCCTCTGTGTGGAGCTAATTTGCCCCCCTGCAGTGGTCCCTGAATAGCACGCGAGTGAGAACTAAACAAACCAAGCAGCCAAACTACTTATAATAACATTGTAGACTCCCTGGCTCTCAATGTACAAACACTATATGCTAAATAAATAATAACATGTTATATACACCATAATTCATTTTCATTTGTAGGATATTTTATGTTATACAATCATAATTAAATTGGTATAACATTTTATGGTAAGTAATTAATCAATGAATATCGGATATGTCTTCATATTTTAAACGATACACTTTGTTAATAATTTACTAAGTTAAAAAAATACTGAAACAGGTTGAAAAATGCAAGTCCTATATGCAGTAACTCAACTGTATTCACTAAAGTGGCTTGATATATTTTTGTGAAGCACAATAAAGGCTTATCAAAGAATTTTATAAAGATACTAATTCATTTTCTGACAGGCAGCGCCGCTTATAAAAAGTTCAATTTTGTTTTGTTTTGTCACCTATATATTTTGCCCACAGAAAATCCACATGTTCCAGTTATACATGTTGAGGGTAGAGGAAGAAGTAGATATCAGCCACTGTGTGCCAAGCATTCCCAGTGTTTAGCAGCAAATTGCGCGGTTTTATGTCATGGTGGCGCAGTGGTTAGAATGCAGTATTGCAGGCTGACTGCCAACTGCCAGGAGTTTGATTCTGACCAGTTCAAGGTTGAGTCAGCTGTCATCCTTTCGAAGTCAGTAAAATGAGGATCCACACTTTGTTGTGGCCCTTAGAGAGTGCTGTAAAGCACTATGAAGCAGTATATAAGCCTAAGAACTATTGCTATTGCTATGTAAGAATAGTAACAAAGCCAAAGGAAATGCCTTCTTCACAATGAGGAATCATATCTTTATTTCATTTCAAATTATCTCTACATGGCCTGGTTTTTCTAGATTTAGGAGTAATGTTCCATCTGATTTTAAAAATGTGCTTATAGTAGAAACATTTTTTTAAAAAATAAGTATGATGTAGAACAGAAATATGTAATAACCTAATCAATAAAATATGTGAAGTCCATGTTACTTTACTTGTAAATAAAGATGTTGTTATGGAAATAAAATAAAGCACCACAGGTTATGTAATTTGTGTTATATGTTTAATGTTTTAATAACACAAATGACGCAAATTGGTATACATGACCTAGTTTGGGTCATTGGTTTAAAAAGAGAAGTAATATATTAAATATTACTGTAATTGATTGTATTTTAATACTCTGTTTTGGTCTAAATATATACTTAAATATATTTTAGTATATAGAAAATATGGTTTTTATATACTAAAGTACAGAAACTATACTTTCTGCTGAAGAAAAAAAGGGCATTTGAGGAAAAAAAATGTGGGCATCCATCCATTTTAAGTTTGGCTCCACTGACTTGTTTCTTCAGCCCAACAAGCATATGGTTCCCTGAAGAAATAAGGTCCTGGAAAAGAAAAAGAAAAGATTATTCATCACTGTCTTAGCTGTTTTTTCATGTGCATTTATTTAATATTGGTCCAAATAGAAAAAAAAATATTACGTTTGTCTGGAAGAAAAGTGAGAGATTTAGCACCAAATTATTACTACAGGTAGTCCTCAACTTACAAACACAACTGAGCCCAAAATTTATTTTGTTAAGTGAGTTTTGCCTCCTTTTACAACTTTTCTTTCCATATTTGTTAAGTGAATCACTGCAGTTGTTAAGTTAGTGACATGGTTGTTAAGTGAAGCTGGCTTCCCCATTGACTTTGCTTGTTGGAAAGTTCCAAAAGGTGAACACATGATCCCTGGACACTGCAACCGCCATAAATGTGAGTCACTTGTCAAGTATCCAAATGTAAATCATGTGACCATTGGGATGGTGCAATAGTCATAAGTGTGAAAAATGATCATAAGTCACATTTTTCATTGCCATAGTAACTTTGAATGGTTACTAAGTGAACTGTTGTAAGTTAAGGACTACCTTTACTCACATGCCTTGTGATAGTACATAAGATATCCTGCCAGGTACCTTAATTAGAGCACAACTCAGTTTCATGTAAGTGTGTATGTGGGATGGGCAAGAAGGCATCTAAATGAGAAATAATAATTGAAATTTATTACAGATTCTTGTTGAACCTTGTTATTTATGGAACTTTCTCATAAGATACTTCATATTTATCTTGTTCTTAATAGGCAGCAGTCCTCAAGACAGCCCTAGAAATTTTTCTCCTAGTGCCTCAGCCCACTTCTCTTTTGCACGAAGGTAAGAAAATATATGCTTATAACATCAGCTCTATTATCAGAAAAATATTTTTGATATGTATCTTTAATGATAATGCTGATGGTTGGGCTGTTTACTGTTATCTTATTTAGATAACAGTAAACTCCTTATTAGATATTGATTTTTGATCTGATGTCAATCTTGATGTTAATCTATGCTGATCTGGGTGTTGATTGCTAGTGGGGAGGTGTTTTGAGTTTTTTGTTCCAACCAAAGACGATCCACAACCACTCCTACCAACAGTGACAGGGCAAACCACTAGAATATAAATTGAGAGCATCCCTTCTAGCACTGATAATGTTACCTAGTTCGGTAATGAAACGTTTGTAAGGAAACAACCAAACTCAGAGAGCACCAAAGACCCTTCATTTCAACCCTAAGCTATAAATGTTCTCCTTTTTCAACGAGATACATAATCATTTGCAACAAGCTCTATCACAAATTCTGTTATGGTAGCCCACCACTTTTTCTCTATAAGATGTTGTCTAATCTCACCCATTCCATAAGTAGAAAACCAGTATGCATATAGAATAATACTGATTGGAATGTAAACAAAAATAACAGTGAGATTTGATGCTAAAATAATTTATATTCTTGCTCTCTCTCTATATATATATAGTTGAATAACCTCCTTTCCCCTTCTAATAGTGTTCTCTATTGAAATACTTAAAAATCAACATAATTTGGGAGCAACTGATGCTTATCTGATGCCAGAACTCAGTTGATTCAATCAATTGATTCAATTTGTCCCATCTTTATTACGTGAGAAAAACAAAACTAGAATATAGAATAACAGAGTTGGAAGGAAGGTCTTTTAGTGCAATCCCCTGCCTAGGCAGGAAACCCTACACCACTTCAGTCAAATGGTCCAACTTAAAAACTTCCAGTGTTGGAGCATTCACAACTTCTGGAGGCAAGTGGTTCCACTGATTAATTGTTCTAACTGTCAGGAAATTTCTCCTTAGTTTTAAGTTGCTTCTCTCCTTGATTAGTTTCCTTGCTTCTTGTTCTACCCCCAGGTGCTTTGGAGAATAGTTTGACTCCCTCTTCTTTGTAGCAACCCCTGAGATATTGGAACATTGCTATCATGTCTCCCCTAGATCACCTCCATAGCATTATCAAAAACTTCATTCACAGGATACTTGAATAAATTTTATAAATGACCAGAAAGAATTAGAAATTTGTATCATTCACTTAAGGATCTCTTTGCACATCAAAAATTGTTAACATTAGAAGTCAGTTTTTCTTTGTTAGAGAAATTAAGTGTAGAAATTAATTCCACTTGTTTAAGATATTTGAAGATTCTGTGTAATTTACCCATACTTAAAAAGTTGTTCTTTTGTGTTTCTTTCTAAATATATTTGGTACAATTACATTTGCAGTCACGGGCATCGAAATGAAAGGTAACTATCTCTTACCTGTACAAGCTGTGCTCACTGTTGCAGCCATGTCTGTGCAAGGCTGAATAGGTCATCACAGCAAGTCCAGATACAATCTGCAGCTATTCTGTTTTCTCCCTGCTTCTTTTGCCTCATAGAGAGAAAACAAGGCGTGCTTGTGTGGTGTGTTTCTTTTCCATGTATGTGTATTTAAACTGTTTGGTCTGATATGATTAGGCACCTATCTTTGGTAGATAAAGTGTTACATTCAGATGTAGGGCTAAATATAGCTGTGTTTCTGCATGCTGAATTCTGAGCAATGTCGAGCAGAGATTTCTTATATTATAGTTATATCATTCATATTATGCATGTAACTTGCTGTACAAACCATAGCTTGGTTGAGTTTCCTGATTTATGCATTGTTGATGTTTGTCTGAGAATAGCATTGCTTGGTAGAAGTGAAATTTAAAGCATAGGCAACAGCTATGTATGTGTTAGATAAACATTTAGGCTGTGACTGGGAATGAAACTAGGTTGGTAGTTCTATGTCTCAAATTTCATTACGCGTATTAAAAGATCAAAATATGTTCCCTACGATCAATATTTTGCTAAAATATAATGATCTCTGTTTCATTTTGCAAATAAAACAATTATCATTCTTTATTCACTTTAACTGTCAATCTACATGTGTTATATTTAGTGCGTAGATTGTGGTGGTTATCCACTTGTTTTCTCTATTTTCTTCCTAGTCAGCATTTTGAATTGGCTAATAAGAATGATGAAATCTTCCATTTGTTTCCAAACACTTGCACATGCTTTAAAGAAATGCACTGAATAAGGCTTACTTATAGTGCTGTATTTTCCTTTTGGTCATATTATTGCATAAACTCTATTTGAATATTTTGGCATGGTAAAATTGCAGTTGTATTTTGTGACTAAACTCAAATACACTTTAGGACCGATGGACGGCGTTGGTCACTGGCATCTCTCCCTTCTTCTGGATATGGTACAAATACTCCCAGTTCAACAGTTTCAGTAAGTAATTTCATATTGGCTGCTTTCTGTAACATATGTTCAGATTCCGCTGTCTCAAAAAACAGTGAAGTTTTGGGTAGTATTGAAAAGTAAAGAATGGATTCTGTATCACAGTCTCTCTCTCTATAGATGGATGGATAGATGGATGATTGATGGATGGATATAGATATATGAATATATATTGTGAAGTTTAAACTTAATAACCTGTTGAGAAGTGTGATTGTAGAGATTGGTTGTGTCATATTTTCTACTAGATAGATAGACACTGAGTGATGATGCTAGAACATCCAATAACTGGGCGTGTAAATTTCTATATTAGAATGTTAGAAATGTGCAGCACATTCCAAGGTCAAACCATTTTTAACCCAACATTTTGAATAAGATCAGAATAGCACCAGAACAGCTATATTTCAAGGTCAAAGTACAACATTTTGCTTTCCAAACAATTTGAAGTTAAAATACTTTTGCACATTTTTACCACTTATTTCAGTGACCACCACAAAACTAGGCAGTATCATTATTCTTTATTTTCTTTTATAGGAATTCTAGCAAACATTATTAAATACAATGTAATTTGTCTGATTTAAATTAAATACTTATCATGACTTAAGTACTGATAGCTCAGCCATCTATTAACTGCTTCTTTGCTTTCTATCCATTAGAACGGAAGTGCTGAAGAAGTCTGTGGTTTCTATGTTGATAGTGTAGGTTAGCGGCTAGCCTCAACAAATCTATCCAAAAAGGTTTATAATTGAACAATATGAACCTGAAAACTTGTAATCAATCAATATCATGATACAGGAAGGAACATTTACTGTTAAATGGTCATAATCTGGCTATGATAGTGAGATTTTCAATTACCTTAAATAGAATTTGTGAACACATTGGTAATTGAGACAGAGATTTAAGTGACTTAAATATACAGCTGATAGTTTAATTCACCCATTATACTTTAAATAATTTACTCTAAAAAGTATTGTGCTTGAATTATGGGAGGTAAGATCTGTCTGTAGTGATCTGTAGAGAATTGAATGACATTTTCTCTAATCTTTTATTATTATCTATTTAAGACTTAATGCTGCATTAACCATTATGTAATCATTTTTGCATTGACAAATTTGAATTACCGGTACTTTCCCTGAAATAAACCCATTTTTAAATAAAGTGTCATATTCATTGGAAAATATGCTTGGTTCCTAGGTATTATGGAATACTATTTTAAGTACTGAACTTTATTAATATTTATTTTTATGATGAACTCTATTCAAAAGAAACAGAAGGAATTATAATTAATTGCATTCCTCCATTCTTAAGTTATTTATTTTATCAAATTGTGCTATTTTAAAACTTTTAGAAAAATCTTATAATGAATTGCTTTGGTAAGAGGTTTCCAGAGAGATTTTGCATCATGTAGCATTCAAGAGATTGTTCTCCACTAAATACTTGTCAATTTGAAATTGAGCAAAGTGTATTTCACTAGAATATGTATGAAATAGTAAACATGTAATTAAGAGAAAACTTATTTTTCATTAACTGCATTTTTCACATTTAAATTTTTTTAATGTTATATTTTAAACAAAACCATAAATATGAGTAATTTTTCAGGAAGCAAACATTCTAATTTGTGCTTTTAAATCCCAAGTGCTCTGATTTAGCACATGTTTTGGTAGGTATGGAAAATTATATTCGAAATGCAATATTGTACATTTACATGTAAAAAGAAACTTCTTTCTATACTCTAATCTTGTTGATAAGAAGTGAGAAGAGCAGATTTTTATTTTGACTATTGGTACAAATTAATATTTCACATGTTTATTGCAGTCATCCTGTTCTTCCCAAGAGAAGTTACACCAGTTACCATATCAGCCAACACCAGACGAACTTCATTTTTTATCTAAACATTTCTGTGCTACTGAAAGTATTGCTAGTGATAATAGATGTAGGACCACTCAAATGAGGCCACGATCCAGAAGCCTCAGGTAGGTTTATTTTTCCAGAAGTATGACATGTATAAGAACTTGTGAAAAATGATCCAAATACACACATACACACAATATATATTATTATGCTTATACTGGTTTTTGAGATGCCAAACAAATTTAATCTATCCTCTTTTATATTGTTGTTTAAAAAGGAAAATAGACTCTAAAAGGTACTTTCAATGTATAATTCTTCAGTATTTGTATGAAGTCTTGACTTTTATTGTTAAATTCATAATTTTTATTCTGGTGAATTTCTAGTCTAATATTCTTTAGAAACATGATTACCAATGGGCATTAGAAAAAATTATTTAATATATCTTTATCATAAACATACATTGAATGACAATTTTAAATCTCCAAATTTAAATAAAAAACATATGCTAGGTATATTTTTGTTGTAAAAACGTATGGAATTCTTTATAACTTTTAATAAAACACTGTGTTCATGACTAGTAGAATACAGTGTATGGAATAGAAGTTTTGCAGGCAAAAGCTATTCTACTCATGTTTGTGGTTCACTACTTTGATTTTATTGAATAGCAGAACAATATAATTGAACAGGGGACTGTAATTTGTGTGTCAGTATAACCAAGTCAATCTGATGCAAGCATGCAGTGAACCCTGATCAGATTTCTCTGGTATCATCTATTACTTTAATCAGAATTTAATGGAAGTATATAGATTTTGGATGAATGGGAAAAAGAAATATTGTTTGACAAGACAGGGCTAGATTGATAAGGTAAGCTGATGTTTTATAATCAGGTCTTGCCACAATACATTCTCTGATGGGGAGGAATTTTAATCTAAGTAAGAAGAAGTAAACATTGATGGTCTCATTTTTTGCAATGGATACTTTGTTTTGATGGATTTATAACTTGCTCATTAAGTATTTTGACTAACATTTTAAATTTGGAATAAATAAAAGTCCACCTCCTACTATAAACTTTGTAATTGTGTGTGTGTGTCCTGTATACATGCAGATATTTTCTTTTACTAAAATAATTTTCCTGATAAAAATGTAGTATACCTACAAAATTCTATAGTCTTGGCTTCCAGGTATGCCAAATTATTGAGAAATCACAAAAAAGTAATCGATTTAATGATATATATTTATTTTATTCATTTATTTTTATTTCCGAACTGTTCATCTTCCCCCTTTTCTCCTATTTGTTGAACTCAAATAAATACAGTATATTGTTTTATCAAATATTTAATGGTGATAATTTTTTTTAAAAACCCACTTAGGAACACTTGTTTGACTGCTCCTTTAATCATACTTGGAATAAGAGGCACTTTGTTGAGTTGGGTGGCTATAGAAATGGAATAAATAAATAAAATAAACCCATATTATAGCATTTTAATATCAGGAATAATATTAGGTAGTAAGTCTCAATGTTGGCAACTTTAAGATGGCCAAGGAATTCTGGGAGCTGAAGTCCAACCATCTA